CAGTAAAACGCTCCCTTCACAAAACAGCCACCATCCCTCAGCCACCAGTCCTTAAGTGCGTTTTAATATAAATCATTCCGCGAGAATCTGCTGTGTAGGAAACCGGCTCGGCCTCCCGGCATAATAATATTACTTTCCGATAGCGGCGGGCGTTCTATAACGACGCTCAAGAATAATAACGCGTTCCATAGAGCGGCGACGATGACAATAACAATCCAAGTACCGAATCCCCGAACCTTCAAGTCACGGAGCGCGGTTTCTGTTGTTGTTTCTTCGACGGTAGTTATCGTTTGCTCTCGAACCAGTCTTTATTTCCGTGACGTAGGAATCGCTCCCAGCGCGATGCTCGAGTTTAGACGCTTCCCTATCGGGAACGGCGGAGATCGAGGAGAAAAGGGAGCCGCTTGTTCCATCCGCGATCCCTTACTTTTACCGACGGGAAAGAGATCATACCGTAAATGGATGAAGCGCGGAGAACGTTTCTACGACAAAACTTGGGTCGCTACTTCGGGGTTTCGGCGCTGCTGCACTTTCTATGCCAGCGCCGGAGGTGCATCCCTTTGAGATTTGTTTCGTTTCCCGATTAGAACGGCTCCGAAAGCAAGCAAGCGAAAGTCAAAGCAGCCGCTTTAAAGAACGAAAATCGGATCTACGGGAAAACGTGGCGGATAACGAAGTGAGTGAGTGAGTGAGAGAGAGAGAGGGGGGGGGGGGGACGTCCACGTAATATCGGAACTCGCCGAGGATTCCTCGATGCACGAGAAATGTTCGCATCGTTGGTAATCCAGCGCGTGTGTCTCTCTCCCGGTTCTCTTCGTCTCTCTTTGACTAGACCTAGATCCCGAAACGACGAGAGCCGTAAAAAAAATCATCGAGGAGATTAACGGTGCCCTGAAACAGGTGCGCCTCGAGGCGAAATCTCGCTTCTGGAGAATGCTCGAACGGCGAAAATAAACATCCTCGGGGCGGCGGTGGGGGGGGGGGTGGGGGGGGGTCGGTGAGAGGAAGGAAAAGTTGAAAAACACGGCGGATGGGGGGCGGGGGGGGGGGGGCGTTGAAGGCGAATACGGACGGATGGGTTCTTCGCGATGGGCCCGGCAAAATTTGTCGAGCGCCGAGCAAATTGCGACGATTATACGGCTCGTGCGGCCGTGGCAAAAGGAACGACAGAGAAAAATAAAGCCATTCCATAAAGCGTAATGGAGGGCTCGCAAATATTTATCTTTCGGTAGGTCTGGAGCTGCGGGAGAAGCGCAAAGAGCCATGCGAAAACGTTCCGTGTGCCGGATGGCCCTTGTCGCGGCACAGAAATGCGGAAAGTTCTCCTGACACGATTACGCCGCTCGGTGACCAGAAATAATTTCATTAGCCGCCCCGTAAACTCATCCGGCGCGGCGGTTCGTAAAGAAACCGTACGCGTGGGAAATATGTACTTCGGCGTGTATAATCGCGCGCCGCGGACGCCTTAAGCCGACCCCCTCCCCCCCCCCCGCCCCCCCCGCCAACACACACCCGCCAAAACTCTCTACCCCTTCCCATCGTGGTCTCTCGGGAACTCTAATCACGGTACTTAAGTTCCTGTTGCTTAGACGCGCCGTGCCGCACCGAGAACGTTGCTCCGACGCCGCATCGGCTTCCGGGCCCGTGCAACTGTACGCCGCCGGCGTCTGCAAACGCGAATGGAATGATTCGCGCCACCGAACACGCTTGTTAACGAGCGAAACGACAGTTTACACGGCTCGACGAGACCCTCCTGAAGTTAATGGACGCGTATATATCGATGAGATTCCGAGCACCGTCGAGGACCTCGCTCCGGAACCCTCTCCGGCGCACCGCTCGCCGCGCAGGGAAACGTACAACCGGTTACTTCTACCTGGCTGGCTCCAAACAATCCTTATTTACCCTTTACGCGTTTAGAAAAGAAGTTGAATGAATCTATCTCGAACGTATTATCGTCATCGGTACTTTTTTATCGAGCCGAGGACGAGGTACAAAGGTCGCGAAGAAGCTCGAGACACGATGCTCGAAACTTACTGGTCTCGCTGTGCGTGGTGTTCCCTCCATCGTCGTTTTTTAAACCGGAGGCCAAGTGGCCGAGTTCGCGCTGCGGTCGTAAGAAGGAGACATTTTGCGCAATGTCTCTGCAGAACCTCCTCGCACAATGCTCCCCGGTGTTGCATAATCTGTTAACCGCTCCGAAATCATCCCTGGTTTACCTCTGTTACCGTCTACGGGTCCGCGATGGTCCTGCGAGTAGTTGTTCTCCTTATCAAAAACGCAACTCCGCTCGCCCTCCACCCGCAAGAGCGACGCTAATCCGCGGCGTTTCGCTCGCGAAAGTATAGCGAACGCTTCCATCGCAAGAAAAGCCGAACAAAATTCCTGACGAGCGAGGTCGCGGCGCTTTCGTGACGAGGGTCAACTCGAAATTAACCACGGATATCCGATATTTCGGTCGCGTAAGCTCCCTCGCAAAAACTTGGCCCTGCTGGAAGTCATCCGACGTAGACGAGAGAGAGAGAGAGAGAGAGAGAGAGAGAGAGAGAGAGAGAGAGAG